AATAGGATCACACAAAATATATAATAGGCTATAATATAATTAACAGATTAACAAAATGAAAAAAAAAACACTGTGCAACAAGTATAGGCTATACGCTCGTTTTTGTGACACTCTTAATGCATTTTATTTCTTTTCTTTATATCTTTATTTGATTTAATCCATCTGATTGCACAGGCGCTGAAGTATAAAGCCATGTTCAGGCTACACAATGAATAATAGTTATGCAAACAAATGTTACAAATATGGCAAAAATGGAAACATTTGGATTCTTGTGGTATGATATAGGCTCGTGAGCCCAATGCCATTTCAGTTTTGCTTGACATTTGTATGCTGTTTATAATGAATGCCACTATAGCCTAATTTGTGTTTTATTTTATAGTTTAAAATATAATTTTATAACTACTTATTTTTCATTCTTGTTCTGTTCTGGATACCATTAAATCGAAAATATTTGTTGTAGAGTGAGGGGAACCAAATAGGCTGTTTATATTTACCAGTATTTTAATATACATATAAATTACATAAATTAATGTAGCCTAAATGTTTGCAATTACAAGGTTAAAGGGTGTTTTTGGAGTAAGATCAATTTCTCTTTCACAAGATTACTTCCTCTTTTTAGCCAGGCTTCGTTTCTCCGTGTCGTAAACTCGGGAAAGGGGCGAGGCTTCTAAACCAGGGTGTTTTTAGAAAAATTCAGGAAGCCATAGACCATTGTGGTGGTGTGGTATGGCCAGCGGTGAGTATGAAACATTCAACAACAGTAGACCAAAATGTCAGATCAATAAAAAAGTATACGTGTACTTTTGTGAGAAAGTAAAATACATGGATTCTAATGGAGACTATGAACTCCTGGTTTTGAATGTCAAAGGCATTGGCCCTTTGCCGATTCCTGGACACCCCAACAGGCCGACAGCAGATTAATCTACTTGACAATTCAACGCTAGAGCTCGGAGCAGGAACGGGCCTCGTCTCGATAGTTGCCACACTTCTGGGTAAGTCTCGATATCTGATGCAATCATATGGTGATCGCATGTCCTCTTCTTCCGAGACATGTCCTGGCGGAGATGTAGGGATAACTGCAGGCTGGAGCAGTGGGTGTGGTGAAAGATTAGGGCGTGCCGAAAAGTAGGGGCATGGATAAAGGTCTTTCTAATTGGTTAGGGTTAGGGGTTAGGAAAACAAAGCCACAACCCCAACATTTTAGGCAATTTAGAAAACCCGGCCAGGACATCTCTGGGGAAAACAGAACGTATGGTCACCCCATGAAATCAACGGTCTAAACCAGGGTGTCCAATTTTGTTTGACACACCCATTCCAAGTCTTGAAATTTTTCCTAATGAGCTGATGAGTTGACCCAGGAAATCAGGGATCAGGAAAACATGTTAGGAACCACTGGTTTAGACTAAGCCTGTGACCAGAACTAAACAATGTCAATAACTTGTAGGTGCTAAAATGACAGCCACAGATCTGCCAGAAATCCTTGGTAATCTGAGGTGTAACTTGAACCGGAATACCAAGTGGCAAGGGAGACATGAACCCCAGGTTACAGCATTACCATGGGGCTACAAACTAGAGGAGATGTTTCCCCACTCCACCCATCATTACGATTATGTTTTTGCAGCTGATGTGGTCTATCACCATGACTGCCTCAATGAGCTTCTTGACACCATGCTTCACTTTTGTCAAACAGGGACAACAATTATCTTAGCAAACAAGGTCGATTATCAGTCAGACCTGGTGTTTCTTGAGAACTTTAAGAAAGCTTTTAACGCCACATTACTGACAGAGCTGGATAAGGTGAGGATTTACTCAGCTACCATGAGAATCTGATGAAAGGTGATGTGACTGATGTGAACTTAGCACTCCATTACAAGAAGGCTTTCCTGACTACACTGCTGGCACAGGTATAGGAGGTGAAGATAAGCATGGCTGTGGCTCATGTTTGTTTAACACCAAGTTCACACTGCAGACAATTCCCATTTGTTTTTAAAATCAATCTTAAGGACTGACTGTCAACATTGACGTTTGTAAGTTATCAAATCAGCATCTTCAGGCAATGTAGTGAATTCTCAGATATGCTAATTTGATATCCAGACTCAGACCAAGACCTTTTACCATACTGTCACACTAACGCTATCAATAAACACACAAAGATGACATTTTAGAAAGTCTGTAATCCAACACAAGGTAGAGTTGATGAGACCGGGCAAACACTGGGTAAGAACACAGGGTTTAAATAAGAGGGGAACTAACAAGATAATTGAACTAAACAGGTGAACATGATGACTAATTAGACACACGAGGAAAACTAGGGCTGTGTCCGAAATCGCCCCCTATACCCTCATTCACTATTCCCTACATTAGGTCACTAATTCAGTTCACTAGAAAGAGTGAATGAAAACGAGTAGTGAATTCGGACACTGAGTGCACTGGAAGGAATGCCGCTTTTGCATAGTTTGTGCTTGCTGTTTATTAATCATTTGAAACTAGCAAACTAGCAGCTCCAGTAGTAAGATTAAAGGATTTATCTTAAACTCTGTCACGGAAATTATGTATAAACCCTAATCAAACAATTTAATAATCAATTTACAATGAATTTATACCCGTGTTGTACATTATGCTGTACGCCATGGATGAGCGCTTTGTAAAAATGAACGGATTGATTACTCAGCTGCGGGTGCCACCTTCTGGCGAGATGCGGGAATTCATTCGGTGCGTGACTCTCATGGTGCATTATGGGCATTCTCTAGCCGTTGAGCGTGCACCAGTTGTACACTCGTTTTTGCAGTGCATTGTGGGATTGAATGAGTGCACTCGAGAACGTCCACTATGGTTTCGTACACCACTAAAAATGGCTGTTCCCTCAAATAGTGCCCTATTTAAGGGTATAGGGGGCGATTTCGGACACAGCCTAGGTCACAGGGCTAGGATGGTTTAGCTTTAGTAATCCTTGCTGTTGAGTGTTCAAACAGTGCAATATTTTTTTGTTCTATGAGTCACATTTTGTCAGCCGGGAATGTGGGTTCATACCAAATTTTAAATATTACCTTCTTGGCTGCAGTTGGTGCGGTGTGAAATACTCTACGCTGATCAAATTAAGATCAGAATCATCATTCAGCGAATAAATATTGGGATGTTTAGGAATAACCCTATCACATAATTCTGTAACAATTACAAAAACTTGTGGACAGTGGACATTCAAAGAACATTAGCATATAGGTCCCCACAGAGTTACACAGTGTTCAAAAGGGAGTAGGCAAGCGCTTCATTCTATGTAACACATACAGAGTTCCACAGATCTTGTGGATCAGTTTAAAGTTGATGGGAAGGATTCTTGGACATCATAGGAACATTTTCCCATATCCAGTCCCAGTTAGGTTTATAGGGGGCCAGTTCCTTTTTCCATATTGTAGTGATGGAAAGTGCACCGGAGCCATGATTCAACAGTTTGTTATAAATAAATGAAACTGCTCCCCATGTCTGAGAAAAATTCACAGTCCATCAGTGGATGAGCGTCCAAGTTACAGTTCCATGGTACTCCATATGCGCGCATTGCACTAGGGATATCCAGAAAGATTGTAACATTCTTTCAAATACTGAAAGGACCTTAGGCCCTGATTATTAAAATTGTCACCCAGAACAAATACACATTGATCAGACCATGGCTTGAAGACAAAGTGTTTTTCCCCAGATTGTATATTATGATTATTCCAAATCAGAGACTGTTGTAAATTTACTAGAACATCCCATAAATTTACAAACATCATACCAGATTTTAAGAGTTACCCACGATTTTATCATCAAACATTAGGTCTTTTTACACCAGTAAATAACATATCTTGTAGTTGATGTAGAAGCACAGCAGATGCTTCTGTGTTACGCCAAGAAATCTCAGATTTTACCTCCAACCAAGTCTTAAAAAAGCATAGCCGACATGCCCAGAAATATAATTGAAAGTTAGCGACAGCCAAACCTCCTTTGGCAGGACTTCTCTGTAATGTTTTACGTTTAATTATTGGACGTTTGCTGTTCCAAATGAATTTAGTTATAATGGAGTTCATTTCTTTGAAAAAGGTTTGATAAGGAGAATGAAAAATAAAAACTGGAAAATAAAAATAAAAGTCTAGGGAGAACATTCATTTTAATGATTGCGATCATACCATGCAATGAAAGTAATAATCCATCCCATCTCTCTAGGTCTCATCTAATATTATTGATTTTGAAACTATAATTTTGCTTGACTACAGCCTGGAGTGAGGGAAGGATCTGAATTCCTAAATACTTGAATGTATTACTGACTGGAATTAAGGAGGACACAAATACAGTTTCGCACAATACAGACAATGGCATTAATACTGATTTCTCCCAATTAATTTTATAACCACTCACATTACTAAAATTGTTGAATATTTTAAGACACTGAGAGACAGAAGTGGAAATGTTAGACAAATACAGCAAGATGCCATCAGCAAAAGGAGATATGTGGTGTTTGGAGTTGTATATAGTGATAGGAGAAATTATATGATCCTGAAGAATTGCCAGTGCCAGAGGCTCTAATGAAAGGGCAAACAACAATGGGGATAATGGGCAATCCTGTCTTGTATTACTGCCCAGCAGAAAAGTACTTGAGCAACCCATCCCTGTCAACACCTGTGCAAAAACATTGCTATAGAGAGTTCATACCATATGTATAAAACGGGGACCAAAGCCAAAACAATTCAAAACTGACCAAAAATACATCCACTCGATGTGATCAAAGGCTTTCTCTGCGTCTAGTGCGAGAACAGCTCATTGATCGTCAGTCAGATTGGGCATGTCTATAATATTCAGAAGACGTCAAACATTATCCATAGCACAGCGTCCCTTAATAAATCCTGTCTGATCATAAGAGATTAAAGAGCCAGCAACTTGATCTAAATTAAGGGCTAGAACTTTAGCATAAACCTTAGTGTCCATGCAAATGAATGAAATCGGCCCATAGCTAGAGCAGTAGAGAGGGCTCTTCCCTTTTTTCAAAATCAGGGAAATAAGGGCAGTTCTGATCTCTGTGAAAACAACCCGTGTCTATGGCAAAATTTAAGGAATCAAGAAGGAGTGGTCCAAGCAAATCCCATATCACTAAATATGGCTTCTGGGGGTAAGCCATACAGGCCAGGGGCCTTACCCTTATTCACTGATTCTAAAGCCTCTTTTAATTCACTCAGTTCAATTGGAGAATTGAGAAAATTACGTTGCTTGTCACTTACGTAGGTGAGGGAGATTTAATTTTGATATGAATTCAATTCTCTGTTGTTCATCCAAACCCACCTCGGAACTGTAAAGCTGCTCATTAAAGTCCTTAAATATAGCATTCACCTATTCACTATTTTTCAGCCTTAAAGCCAGCTATTTAGTTGGGCCTTTCTCCATTAAAATAGTAATTGAGTTGCGATGGAGCAAAAATTCCACCATTTTTAGTAAAATTGCCTTGTAGTCAGATCTTAAATTTCCCAAAATCCTACTCTTCTGTTCTGTAAAAGTTTATTTTAAATCCTTCTCCAGTATTTTACTTTTACTTTAGATTTATTATCATAAGAGGCAAAAGAAATAGTTTCCTCTCAGAAAACATTTAGCTGTTTCCCATAATATTTGTGGATTAGCAGCTGAACGTCTCTGTTATATAGGTAACCCTCGTTCACTGATGGAGGGAATGGAGACGTTATGTCATGATGACATTAGGGGTCTTACTTGGGAGCCCCAATCACCTCTGAGTTTAAAAGAAAATGCCAATGAGAATTGACGAGTGGATTTTGCATGCCGAGCCATATATATAAGATGGCCACGTGCATCCACTCATTCAGGTTTATGCTGAGGAGCCGAGACCGTTTCCCCACACTCAGTGAGTGGTTCAGGATTGTGACAAGGGGACATAACGTCTCCGTTCCCTCCATCAGGCAACGAGGGTTACGTACGTAACAGAGACGTTCCCCATCTGTCGGTCACTACGAGTTATGTTGTGACAACATTAGGGGTCTTATGGAAAGCGCCACAACCACTGCATGTCATTACCACTGTGACGCTGTAATTGCTGACAAGCCGTGGCATGCCATTTTTCTTTCTTTCAGCAAGGCTAGATGAAAACGTTGGGGAAGCGTGTCTAAGTCCAAGGGATAAGGCCACTACGGAGACCACATCCTACCCATAGGGAGGTGATATGTAACTAATATGGACTGGCCCCAGAGGGGCAGTACTACATATGGAATAGGTCTCTGAGGTAGGTCCTACCTGGGAGTAGGGATGGATCTCCTACCAACAGAGACAGACAGAGCAGAATCGGTCCAAGGGAAGATACAGGTTTACCATGAAGGAAACCTTACCGTGGAAGAATACACATCTGGGATTACCCACAGGGAACCACACAGATGGGACACCTAGCCCAGGCTTGGTAACACAAGTACTGGGCCTGGCGTCAGACTCCTCCTCCGAGTCTGACTGCCGGGGATGATGGAGGATACTCGGCCAGGGTTCGCCATCTGGGGAACTCGACTGGAAGAAGAAAGGCGCTCGCATACCCTTGTGAGGGGGAATGGCAGCAAGCGTGACACTGAGCCAGTTCTTCCCGCCACTTACCTATCACCGGCTCTACGCGAAGGTTGTAAAACCTTGCAAAGGTGTTAGGTGTCTCCCAGCCCGCAGCTCTGCAAATGCCTGCCAGAGAGGAGCCGTGCACCTAAGCCCATGAAGAAGCTACACTACGGGTAGAGTGAGTTCTCACCCCCAGGGGGCATGGCTCGCCTTGGGATTGATATGCCAAGGCGATGGCATCCACTATCCTGTGGGCCAACCTCTGC